CACTGATCGTCCTCGTGGCCCTGACGAATGCTACAGTCAATCGACCAAGCAGGGCATCTGTACCTTCGTTGGAATTGGGCAGCGGCACCTTGAGCTTTGAGTGTAAAATCAAGCTCTCTTGACATACACAGTACTCAGCGAATAGGCGAGTGGTAGTGACTTCCATTATTTCTTACAAGGCAATGGCCAGTAGGCCGAGTTATTGTTCTGTCAGCTTTATCTTGTTGGTGCATTTGAACAAAAGTAGTCCACGGATAGGCTGTGTAGAAGAATGATTACTCAAGAGTTTAGACAGTTATTCAACTACACCAAGTTCTTGCTGGTGATTTAAAACCATTCTCTACCGCCGTTTTTCTAGTCTATCATCCTGGTACTTTGGGAGGCGAAGTTTCGGAGTTGGGAGTGAAGGTCTACTGGGGATAGTTAATGTGTGTCTGGTCCAGCTCGGGTGCTATTTCCCTAGTTTATATATGCGAGCCATGCACAATCGTTTACTGCGTGCTGCACATGACAGCACAGTTCTTGCTAATTCGATGCGGAATTTCCCGTACAGTGTGGAAGACCTCTCTGAGGCTTATGTTTTTCTCATCTAAGATGGAACTTTCGTACTTATTCGTGCTTACTACTTTGTGCAACATCGCGTGTGATTTTGGCAAGGATCTGCTCGCTCCGGAGACTCCATATAGCCAACTAGTGTGTGTGTGGCTAGTCCGTCAGCGAGCGCACCTACAGTAACTTTGTTGCTAGGAGTACAACTCTTCAACAAAGAAAATGGGGAGATTAATTTAAATAACTCTTCGTCGGCTGTCAGCAGTAAAAATGCAAGTATCCCGCCAATCCTGCAGGCAAGGAAAGGAATCACCGCCTGGCGGCCTCGTGGCTCAGCATCGGCCCCCTCGCGCGTATGTGTGACCGCTGCAAGGTGATCCGCCACGCTGCAGCTCTTCCTTTGCCCTACTCCCTCGACAAAGCCCAACTTCTGGAAAGAGCTTGGGGGCCGGATTCCTCAATCGGAACTTGAAGACTTTAATATGGACATGGATTCCTTTAACCTTTCTTTATTCTTCCTTCCCCTCTCATGTCCCTTGCCGGACAGCTTTTTGGGGCTTGGGAGCCAATAACTGTCACTGTGTCCCTCAATGTCTCGTCCTCACGTATCCCTGGACGAAAAAACATCCCATAATCCTCGACACACACCATGTTGACCTTCAGAGATGCTGTTGACAAGTGCACGGGTCTTTCCGGTGATGGGAAAGACATTGCCATCACCTTGGCTTTCTGTCTCTTTCTAGTGACCGTGACCATGGGACTTCGATTTTACACGTTGGTCATGCGAAGACAGAGCTTCCAAGCGTCGGACTATCTAGCACTTATATCTCTGGTAAGATTCCGAGTATTATATGCCGCTTGAGCTGTTTAAGGAGTTAACGGTGCGGTATCAGATTTTATACTACTCTAGCGCGGTGACGGTCTTTCTGGGTATGGCACCGGGTTCATCTATGGTGCAATCATTTTCGATTCTAATCCGCCATCTATTCAGCTTTGACCATCGGTCACATTGGCTATCGGACATCGGAAACGCCAGCTTGGCGGCTCAGCATCGCCTTCAAGGTAGATAGTTTCGTCGATCCATCCCTTACTATGCTAAGGTATACTGACCAATTCGCAGTGCATCTATTATATCCGACTGGCATACCTCATAGGGTTAGGTCTGGTAAAATGCAGTCTCTTGCAAGCGCTTCAGAAAACCTTCATCACTCCGACCAGCTATTTTCGGTTCGCCGTGTGGACGATAATGGTAATATGTGCCTGTTGGAGCCTGTCAGGGTTTCTTCTCGCATTTCTGGCCTGCCACCCATTCAAATACAATTGGACTCCGAATCTTGGAGAAGGTCATTGCGTGAATCAAAGTCACGTTCTACTGGGTCTTGGTATCATTGATTCTGTGACGAGCTTCGCCATCATGGTTCTGCCATTGCCGTATCTGCTCAGAACCAACCCGACGCGGTCTCAAAGGCTGGCAGCCGTTGGCGTCTATGGGATTGGAGTCTTGTACGTATACCCTGAGCTCTGCAATGGACGAGTGTCAGACGCAACATTTCTAATCGAGGAATCGAATAGTGCTGTTGCCATTGCCATCCTACTTACTGTGGCTCTTTCGAAAACCGACCTGAGCAGTTTCAACGAGGCAGGCAAAATGGTTGTGGTCTGGTTCACTGTTGAGTGGACAGCAGCAATCATCGTGGCCAATGCATGCGTTCTCGCACCAGTGTTTGCCTGCTTGGGTCTTTGCCAATCTCTGCGTTCTGGCGCGAACACCTCGCTCAGCCACCCCAAGGACGGTTCTTACTTACTGGGGTCGATGCGGACTCTGACTACAGGCGGTAGTAGCGCACCACTAAGGCTGAAAGCCACGCTGGCAGAGACAGGCTCGATTCAGTCGTCGCGATCGATGATGAGAGGGCTTGGGTTTTGTTGGACGGAGGCCACAGGACAAGCACAGCAACCAGGCTCCGTCCTTGCCTTGGAGCCAGGAGAGGTGCGCGTGCAGACAGGATGGTCTGTTGAAAGGTCACCGGCCAAGACAGAAGCTACTGCAACAACAACAACGATAGGAACCTAGACACACAGGGCTCCAAATCAATGAAGTCATGATCGTCGTTTCCCAGAGAATTCCGACACTTGTGCTACTAGTGCGTAGAATGTGAGACTGAGGGGGGCGGGGGAGACTGGCGCCACACCGGCTTGCATTCGTAGAGTGTTCGCTTTGAACTCCGATTCCGATTAATCTAGAAAAATTGGGGGCCACGCTAGACGCACATAAGACCTGCCTTGACTTCGCTCTTAGTGGATTTGACTTGATGACCACGTTGCTTTCTAGTTTCTCTATGCTGCAGTCAGCACACGTTCGATCCGATGATGGCTGGTTCCGTTTTTGTCTCCGCCTCCCGACTCCGAGTCCGCTCCTGCCGATTCCAGTTGAGGGTCAACATTGTAGACTAAAATCTGACCTGCAGCGAAGTCCTACGCTGTCAGAAAATGAGGAGAACGCCCTCGCCCTCGGGCTGCCACGCGTGATCCATGACAATTGCCAGATCCCATGTCCTTACGAGCCTTTGTTGCGATCTTTCGTTCTTGAGTGAAGGACATTCTGTGCTCACCTCACACAAAAGGCCCATTTCTATCGCTGTTGCCTGTCCAGAATACTGGACCCAGAATCCCTCCGAACCATGAATAACTTGCAACAAACATTGAATACAAACACTTCTGCTCGCACGAGCCGCTCTCCAGGATTACGCTGTAGCTGCACCATCGTCGCCGTCATTTCTCGTGAACCAGCGAGCAAGACATACGTGTCAGGCTGTCCGCTTGATCAGTTCGTTCCTTCAACCTGCACGAAAGAGGGCCGGTAGTCGAGTTCCTTTTCTATGGGTTTGCTTTCGAATTTTGCTTCTTGTCGGCTGTTTCATCTCGAACTTAAAACTAGGTTCTCGATTCCTTCGTTCTTGGTGGTGGCACAGCGCTGCCTCTTCGCTTTTGCTGACCCAGACAAAGCGATCTCGTACTCTTTACCCACATTGGTGGATCTTGGTTGCGATTCCAACATTACACAACTCTCTTCATGCCCAACGAGACCCAAATCTAACATTCCCAGAGCTCATCTTGATCAGATAGCAAACCAATGCCTCCAGATCACTCGGTGAGCGTATTGCGACCCTGACTATACGGATACACTGTCAAATGCAAGGAGCAGGAATCAATGGCGGTGAGTTCGTGGACACAGCTGACAGTGTTAAACAATCGAACGGATAGTCGTGGCTATGCTGGGTTCGAAAGTCCCAGTCTATGTACTTAGCGCAAGGCTAGAAGCATCGAAGCCGGATCGCGTGGTCGGTGGGGAACCGACAACTAGGGTCTATGAAGCAGCCATCTTACGGCATGCTCGTCTGGCACATCTCTTGGAACAAGAACCCGGCGAAGTCATCGAACTCGACCAATTCTTCCCCGATCGCTCCATGTGTCGCAAATAGAAGCACTTCCCCACTCGTGCAGGATTGCAGTGTCAGCACCACGAGGACAACACCGGCTGCATGGATTGTTTTATATAAATAGGATGTGGTTCTGAATTCTTCCTGAGGCAGAGCAGTCTACTTCGAGTATGGTCCCTTGGACGTCATACGCGACATCCCTGACGTGTATATTTCCCAACGGTCGGTGCATATAAGCTGACATGGATTGAAGAATCCGATACCATAGATATTCCTCTGGCGCGGCACAAGAGTCCTGACTAAGCGAAGCAGTCTTCTTGGCTTACGATCGGTGTGAACTGTGAGAGTCGCAAAGCGGCGCAACCACAATTTCAAGTAACCAGCCTGGAATTGTCTGTGCTGCTCAGCCACTGTCAAGGTATGAAAGTGACAGAAATATGCGTTGCGCTCAAGTTGTGCACGAGACAATCGATTTGGGAGACCTACAGTAGATGCAGCCACTGAGCTTGGTTTTGAGGACGAAGACTCTCGACATACAATTGGCAGTTGAGCCTAGTGAAATTATACATAAAGATAGAAAGCTGGAGACTCTACTTCGCATAGGTTTACCAACACAAGTCTGCAAAGCAGAACTTCTGAACGGGTTTGTAGCAATCTGATTACCATCGGCTGGTAAGAATCATAGAAATCCTCAAGTAAAATCGTGTGTCGTAACCTAACAGCAAATATCTATTACAGCATTGCAGTTAATTCAAAAGGCCATACCTTCGTCTCCCGGTTGCGCAGCACAAAGAATCGTGCAGCAACGCCCAATCACCGGACCATCGGCAGTGACCTCGAGCTTTCTCCGCATTCTCCGCTTGGAGTCTTCCCCTTCCCCACTCTACCTACTTCCACAAGGACGAGTACTCGCACTTGAAAGCCATCAAACCGTTGAGACAACAATCTACTTTGAACCTCAGTAGATTCATTCTCAGACTTTGGATTCCCATAAATTGAGCATCCTCCACTATGAAAGTAGCTGCAGAGCTCCCCCTCCGTATCCTTACCCATAACATCCGGTATGCAACCTCATCTCCATTCCAGGGCGAGCGACCCTGGGCCGATCGAAAGCAGCGGCTGCTGAACGAGCTACTGTACAATACACGCCATCAAAGCGCCTTTATATGCCTACAAGAGGTACTGCATAGCCAGCTGGTGGATATACATACGGGGCTGAACTCACCCCATCCCTCCTGCCCCAGCCAGACCTGGGAGTATATCGGAGTCGGCAGGGACGATGGCCGCGAAGCAGGCGAGTATTCTCCGATCTTCTACCAACCCGCAGTCTGGGAGCTTCGAGACTGGGAGACCGTCTGGCTGTCCGAGACCCCGGACGTTCCCTCCAAGAGTTGGGATGCTGCCTCGACCCGCATCGTCACGGTGGGCGTCTTCACCCATCGCGCGAGCCGTCGGACTGTGTTGGCATTGAACACCCATCTCGACGACCAGGGATCCCGGTCCCGGTTCGAGGCCGCCCATATCATCCTGGCGAAGATCGAGGAGTATCGGGCGAAGGCGACGTCCGGAGGCGGCAGCAGCAGCAGCATCTCGGGGGTGTTTCTTGCAGGCGACTTCAACAGTCAGGAGGACCAGGAGGCCTATACTGTGTTGACGGCGCCGGAGTCGCCCTTGGCCGACGCGGCCAAGTTGGTGACACCCACGGAGCATTACGGCCACTATTTGACGTGGACCGGGTTTGGCCATGAAGGGCAGGCTCCCACTCGCATTGACTACATCCTACTGGAGTCCACGGCGGACAAGGTTTTCAGCCACGGTCGCCAGCCGTGGATAGTCGAGGGGTATGCCGTCCTGGAAAATCGGTTCGAAGATGGCGTTTTCAACTCGGACCACCGGGCAGTGGTGATTGATGTGCTGTTAGGCCAGTAGAATGACGGAGGAGATTGGATTGGAACATTTTCTGGACATAACATAACCACCGACGAGTAACATGTGCAAAACTGAAGACTGTCCATACGGTACGGTAACACTTGGTATGCCTGGCCACCAATTCGGTACGGCATCGAAAGACTAGATCCACCGTTGGAGACACTGACGCGCTGACGGAGGACCAGCTTACTGCCTTGGGAAAGGTTTAGTGTCACATGATGAGCTGAACTGGTATAGCGCGCGGGAGTGCGTCGGTTACCGTACGAAACAAGCGACGGTATTACAGCATCAATACAATGACAAGTGTAAGAAAGCTTGAGATCGGACCAGAAGATAAAGCAGCATGAAGATGAGTTTGAATGGCTTCAAAAGAGCTCTGAAGGGTCTTCTGTAGCCCTTGAAAGACAGTCAAACTTCTCTCCATGCGATTGACATCCTCCCTTTTGCTCCTTGGATGACCTTTCCTTCCCCCCCGGGGAGCCCGGCCAGAGGGTAGAGACTTGTAACGGCGGTTTCCCTCTGGTTTTCCGCTCTATGTGCTCTTCGCCGCTGCTGTCCTTCTCTCCGTCTCTTTCTCTCTTCTCTTTCTCTTTCTCTTTCCTTTCCTCTCTTCCCGCCTCCAAATCGCGTCTTTTATCACTTTTGATCTCTGATAGACTCGGCCATTTGCCAACCTCCACCCCCACAATTTTTATTCCCTGAACGATTGGTCCGCAACGAATAGTCGGCATTCTATTTGGGAGACTCGATCAAGTAGCTATTAACCGAAGGGTGAATAAAGCTTCGCTCCGCAGAACCGAAGCTCCCGACCTGCCGACCACAGCGGGAGCGGCGTCAGCTGATTAGCCTCCCCCGTCTGTCCTGTGTCTTCTCATTCAAACCGACACAGACCGACCAGACCCAGATCCGGCACCAGCACCAGCAGACCAGACCGTCCAGACCAGACCCATCCACTCTTGTCTGTCTTTCCCACCTGCCTGCTCATTGGAACCAGCTTTTCCCCGACTCGTCTGCTGGTCTAGCTTGGTATCACCGTCTTCCCATTCAATTTCCTTGCTCTTGCTGGTGGCTTTCTTGGTTAGTTGTATCTTTACCTTGATTCTCCCGCGTGCCTGCCATTCGTACTACTCTCCTATCTGCTCCCCCCCCCTCTCATTTTCTCTACCCTACCTCTATTCCCTTGCCATTTTGCTGGCAGGTATGTCACTTCCTCCCAGCCTGTCGTTCCTCTTGCCCGCTTCGCTCCCTCAGCTTCGCGCAGATCTTCCTTCATAGGTTTTCGCGCGTTGCTGAACGGCTCCGGAACATGGCAAAGGAGAGCGACTTACGGGTGGCGGTTTTGCGACATGCCCTTTCGAAGGGTTTTCACCCGCAATGTCTGGTGCGCCGTCGCGTCTCATTGCGATGATTGCAGATAATTCAAGGCCACTGAACTGACTTGGTTTGTTTCTCATCGCATAGTCCTCCCAAGGATGCTATCGTAATAGATTAGTGTCCTCTGCGCCTTTTTCTCTTCGAACCAGTCGTGTCGCTTGCAGATCAATCAAGCCCTCTGCGCGAGCGATCACGAGCCTCCATCTCGATCTCATAAATTATTATCATCGATGATGCCATCTCCCAATACCTCTCACACTGGACAATTACCCTCTGACTCGCAATTTGACGACGGTTCTGGCATGTCTAACACAAGCGCGGATTATAATAATATGGCGGCCTCTGAACCCTCGTCAGGGCAAGGTGTAGACGGAGCTGATGCTATCGCGGAGGGTAAACAGAACGCGAAAGCCGTCCTTGCAGCTTCGGGCGTTTCCCTTCCATCCAACGAATTAAGCCATGATGCGTCTTATGGCAACAACTCGCCTAATACTACCAATGGATCAGCAGCAAGCCGAAAACGATCGCGGGATGGTTCCGTCATACAACCTCCACCCTCCACGGAAAGCCTACCATTGCGCGTCCGCGAGACGCCAGCGGACAAGATTCTCCTCGAAGACTACGTCAATCGCGAGTTTCACCATTCCGCACTGACAGCTTGGCAGAATCCCAGCCACGAACTTCTGCAGCAGAAACGCGCTGAGCGGGATTACTTCTTGGCGGTCCGGCGCGAGACTCACCTGAACCCCGCAGCGTTGTACGGTGTGGGCTATGAAGGATTCGGAAATGCTCGCACCGATTTGCGAAATCAACATCCCCAGCTGCTATACCCAGCCAACCGTCGACGTCCCGGAAATCGACGGACGAGGGAGCTCCGGGTATCTCGCAAAGATTTGAAAACACAAAACGAACAATTGGAAGATTTGGTGCCTATTCGCCTGGATATTGATTGGGAGAAGATCAAAATTCGAGATACGTTCACGTGGAATCTTCATGATCGCGTGGTCTCGCCGGAGCTGTTTGCCGAGAAACTCGTCGAAGACCTGGGTCTAACTATGGAAACGTGTGCCCCACTGGTGCGCATGATCTCGCAGAGTATCCAGGAACAGCTTTGCGACTACTACCCCCACATTTTCATGGAAGAAGATCCTCTTGACCCACACCTCCCTTACAGTGCCTATAAGAACGATGAGATGCGCATTCTGGTCAAACTCAATATCACCATCGGCCAGCATACGTTGATCGACCAATTCGAATGGGACATCAATGATCCTTCGAACTCCCCGGAAACCTTTGCAGCACGAATGACGGATGACCTATCTCTCTCCGGCGAATTTACCACCGCCATTGCGCACTCGATTCGAGAACAATCACAGCTCTTTGTCAAGTCACTTTACATCCTTTCTCACCCATTCGACGGACGTCCGATTGACGATCCCGATCTCAAGACCGCATTCCTGCCTTCTCCTCTCACTTCATCCTTTAGACCATTCCAGGCGGCCAAGGAATTTACGCCATATCTATACGAGCTTAATGAGGCTGAGCTTGAACGAACGGAGGTGTCTATCTCGCGAGACCAGCGCCGACAGAAACGGTCCGTCAACCGCCGCGGTGGGCCGGCCCTGCCTGATCTCAAGGACCGCCAACGTACTATCCGCACAATGATTGTATCGACCGTCATTCCGAATTGTGCGGCTTCTATGGATGAGAGTAATGTGTTCAAGCGGTCTGGCTCTAGTCGCACCCGTCGTGCTGCTGTTGGCATGCGCGACGGAGCGGACGAGTCGGAAGAGTCGGATAGTGACGAATCCTCGATTGCAGCATCTCCAGCGATTGGGCCCCACCTAGCTCAAGGCACAGCGCGCACGCGAGGTATGAGAGGAGCTGCTACCGCAGCACATGCCGCACTCCGGGCGAGCCTGGGCCAATCCGCCACGCCCGAGCCTCATAATGAGGCGAGAGCCGCATCACGCAGGCGTGAATATCGGGAAGAGAGTGTGGATGAGCCGGAGAAGTTGATTGTGAAACTAAGAATCTCGAAAGAGAAATTCAAGCAGTATCTTGCGCACGGGATACAATCAATAGCAAGCCTCGCGAGTTCGACCCCAGTTGCACAACCGCCATCTCAGCAAGGCACCCCTCAAGTCCAAACTCCCACCCCGACTCCCATGGCTCCTGCTGTACAGTCCCAACCTGAAGTCCGCGTACCAAATGCCCCTCCGTCGGCGACCCGGCCAGTGCCGACTCCACAGGTCAGAGTGGGAGACAGTCCCCATACCCCACAGATGGGAGCCACCGGGGTGAGTAAACAACGATTTACATAGTCCTCCTCACACGCCTCGGGCCCCGGCCGCAAGATCTGGCAGTTAGTTGAGGATCAAAACCCTCAGACAACCACAGACTAACATAGTTTGACTTAGCCTTCGGCTCCCAACTGGCTTGTAGCGGAATTGACGCAGCTGAACCGGTCTTATCCCAATGACTCTTTCGAGGCTACGATGCGGTATACGGCCGTCGACACGGAAACTGGACAGCCGGTAATCAATGCCAGCAATCAAGTCGGTAATTCCCGGCTGAAATACCAATACCTCCCACGCATCCGATGCCACGATTGTCCGGGCAAACTCTACAACCCCGGTCCTGGTATGACGGTCGAGAATTTCAAAGTGCACCTCACCAACGGCACACACATCAAGAATGTCAACGAACGAGTTGCTAGGACGGCGGCGGCGGCGGATGCAGCTGGGACGGCCATAGGGGATGGCGGGAGCAGTGTTGATACACCTCTGTGAATAATGACATGAATGATGGGAGCGCATGCGCGCGCAGCACTTGGCTGTGATTTTCCCTTCCCTGTATTTTGTAGAAAACCTCATCATCTTACACACAGACGCACACACTGTTGCCCAGTGGGCCTCTTGTGTTGCAATTGTTGCCAAACACCGCATACCACACACAGACTACGCTAACAACGAAGCATCCTCCTCCCCTTTGACTTGATGTACATGTTTTTTTTCTAGCGAGCTCTTTTTGGGAGAGAGGGTGGAGAAAAAGGTCTGGTTTTTTTTAGTCAAGCTCGTCTCATTTTCTTTGTTCTTTTGACTACTACTACTACTACCACCATTACCATTACCATTACCCCTACCAATACTACTTCCACTTCTACTTCATAGTTCCTTACCTTGGACGAGTTGGAACTGCATCCAAAGGCGTAAAGATATCCTCTCGAATGAGCAAAGCGAGCCCCAGTGACCCAGCCGGATCTTCCACATCTGCCTTCCCCTGTCGTCCCTCCCCTCTTCTAGTGCTTCAGAGAAAAGGTTGACCCCAGACTCGTGCCCTGCCTCTTCCATAGCAGCGTCTTTGAAGTATAGGGTACGGTACTGTATCCGACCAAGGGATTCGACCTCCTGGTGATTTGATCTTACAAGCTTGCACTTAACCCAGGGAACCGTATATCGAACTAACCTTTATTTCTAAGCTTTTGTTTTCATATTTACAATCTAACTTCTACTCCTTCAGCAAAGTTTCTCATCGCCTATAAGAGACATAACCCGATAGACGAACTAACCCTTAGGTCATCATGAAGAAAGTCCAATCCCTTTTAGTCGAGAGGAGGAGGAGGAGGAGGAGGAGGAGGTTGGGAAGGGAGGCAGGCACACACGGTCAGTTAGCTTCCACATCCACAGGCAGATGCATCGTCGACAGTTATAGTTGCTGTTGCTGTTGCTGTTGCTGTTGCTGTTGCTGTTACTGTTACTGTTGCTGTTGCTGTTGCTGTTACTGTTACTATTATTATTACTATTATTATTACTATTACTATTATTATTATTATTATTATTATTATTACTATTACTATTACTGTTACTGTTACTGTTACTGTTGCTGTTACTGTTACTGTTGCTGTTGCTGTTACTGTTGCTGTTGCTGTTGCTGTTGCTGTTGCTGTTGCTGTTGCTGTTGCTGTTGCTGTTGCTGTTGCTGTTGCTGTTACTGTTGCTGTTGCTGTTACTGTTGCTGTTGCTGTTACTGTTGCTGTTGCTGTTGCTGTTACTGTTGCTATTACTGTTACTGTTACTATTACTATTACTATTACTATTACTGTTACTGTTACTGCTACTATTACTATTACTATTACTACTACTATTACTATTATTATTATTATTATTATTATTATTACTATTACTGTTACTGTTACTGTTACTGTTGCTGTTATTATTACTATTACTATTACTGTTGCTGTTACTATTACTATTGCTGTTACTGCTGCTGTTGCTGTTACTGTTGCTGCTGCTGTTGCTGTTGCTGCAGGGTGCTTGATACTGTACATGTCAATGTACATACATGTACACACCCACCGTGTAGGTCAGCTTATAGCTCGGCTTGTCGGAACTGGCGAACTCTCTGGCATGATAATACGGTGTCTATTCGCGGGAGTGATAACTCTGTGGGAAGTGAAGGCCGGGGCTGCTTCGTGTTCGAATCCGTTGTACCGGATGGTGAGGAAGTGAGGAAGTGAGGAAGTGAGAGGTTTACTGGCCGTCCGGGATCAGAGGCAATGGCTTCTGGCTACCTTATCTAGCAACGTACAGCTTCCTGCGCAGCGCACAATCCACATCTAGTCAGGCTTAGTCCACTGCCGGCCGTTGTACTGGTTAAAACAGTCAATACGTACAGGATGACACAAGGACAAATAGGACCTAGATTTGGGCTGGCGGAGAAACGAGTATAAGACTAGCACTCACGTGCGGCTCGTCTACATCAGGAACAGCAGGAGCAGATTGTTAACACGTAGAATAGACTACATACACACATCAATAACTCAGCAACGTGCAAAGCCCTCGTATGAAATGATAGCATGATACCCGCATAAAAATGAATCAATGGATAGACACAAGAAAGACACCTTACCCCTGCATATCCCGTTACAAAGAATACAATACTTGCTAGCTACACGGGACGAAAAATAGTCCGAATCACTCAAGTCGATGGGCTAAGATGGAAGGAAATTGGTATGGTATGGGAAATAAACAACGCTTCTCAATATACATAGAGAGTTGTGGAGCAGTCAATCACTCACTCACTCACTCGCACCACAAACACACCGAGATGGATGGATAAATAGATAAAATGAAAGAGAGATAGATAAAACATAGATTCGGGGGATTTTTGCTTCGACAGCATCGTCCGTGGTGGATATGGTCCTAATCGCCGTCTTCCTCCTTGTCAACCCCCCCAGGCAATAGCTTGTTTGTTTAGGTGGTAGCTACTAAGACCTGGGTGTGTTCTCATCATCAGTGTCATCATATGATTATCGTCATCTCCGAGACGACCGCCGTGTTGCGAGAGTGGTACTGCCTTTGCCACGTGTCACGGCTCGGCCGCCGGTGGCTTTCTTCGGGGGCGAGATCGGAGGCGGCGATGACAATGGAGAGCTGAGATCCGAGTCGGAGATCTCGTCAAGGTCCTCGTCTAGTTTCGAGTTTGCTGCCTTTTCCGATTCTTTGGGTTTCAGGTTTTCCTTGGCGACATCGTTGCTGTCCTCGACATCGGCCTCCTCTGATGGCTCGTCGTTCTCCGACTCCACTTCCTGCTCGTCGTCCTCCTCCGCCTCTTCTTCTTCCTCTTCTTCCTCTTGTTGATCCCAGTCGTCCATCTCCAGGTCGTCTTCGTCGCTGTCTCGGTCAGCGTAGCTGATCCTCCTGGAGGCTCCTCTGCTGCTGCGTCTACGAGAAGCAGCAGCCGTAGCAGCGGAACTGGCTCCGTCACCCGCACCTCCATCCGAAGTCCATCCGTCCTCGTCCTTCTTCTTCCGCTTTGGCGCCTTGGACGTCCCAGCTGAGCCCGACGACTTACGAGGAGGTCGAGCCGGCTTCTCTTTGCTCTCTTTCTTCGCCTTCTTGGCGGAGCCGGTATCGCCACCGGTCTCGTTCGAGTCGGTCTTTCTCTTCTTCGCGGCGCCCTGAGACCCACTTTTCGTCTTCATAACGGACCGTACGACGCGGTCCAGCAGCTCTTCGCCATCTTCCGGGAAGAAGTTCTTGTCTGCCACCTCCTGCGCTTCGCGATGGCTGCCCATCGGAGCGAAGATGGAGCTTGGCACGCCCATCTTGCCCGGGTAGGTCTGCAAAATACTGGCGCCGCCGTTTGCACCACCGAACCTACGCTGTTGAGCGTAGATATCGGCAAACCGACGGATGGTCGCCTGAGCGAGGTCCGAGAGTGTGTGAAGACGCGTACTTATCTCATCAGACTTGGTGATGCCGTCGCGTGCTTGCTTGACACGCTGGGCGATGTGGAAAATCAGCGACAGGTTGTGCTCGTTGGCCACAGCTTGGAGGTAGAACAGGATGTAGCGTGCGAAGTCGGTCAATTCCTCAATTCGGGTCGAGTCGTCCATGTCCGCAGGCGGGTAATCGGGATGATAAGCAAGAAGGGAGAGAAGACGCGAGAACATAGACTCCATGACTGTTTGCTGGTCACTTCGCTTGCCGTTCATCTGCTGGGAGAAGTATGCCGCTCGAGAGCGCAGCCAGGTAAGGGTACTTTCCTTGAGGCTAGCATGTGGCTCAAACGCAAGCAAGAAGGGAACCGTGTACCAACGATAGGTCAAGTGTGTTTGTTGTACGAGTTTCTTCTTGAGCTGACTGATGAAGCCGCTCCGAACTTCCAGGACAGGGTCTTGTGCGACGAGGGCAATCGAGTTGAAGTCCTTCGGCGTAAGCAATTGGTCGCATAGCCCGTGGGTCGCACACAACTTCAACAGTGACCTTGCTGCGAGAAGACGCAGTCTAGGCTTCTGGGTTGCCGGTGTGTCTTTCTTCTTCGAGAGCTCTCCGTCATTCATCACAAGCGTGTTCAAGGTGTCATAAACGGGTTCCGCATGAGCACGGAAGTCATCAGCATCATCGGAAGCATCCTTAGCTCGAAGACGATTGACGATGACCTTGAGAGCCCATTCTTTGGCCTCAGTCTCGTCGTCCACGGAATCCGACCACGAATATCCAGCGTTCGGCTCTGGTGCACGATTGGAAAGCAAAACCTGGTTGACGGAGATTGAGATGATTGCATCGCGCTCATCATCTGCCTCTTTAGGTGCCAACAAGTTGAGCTGGGATAAGGTGGCGAGCTTGGTGAGGAATCGAGCGGATCCGTAGCTCCAACCCGAGACACACTTGTGAATCAGGTCCTTAGCATACATCTCCTTCTTGTCGGCGACAGCCATCAGAATTGAAACGGCATGTTTAGCAGCCCTCGGCGACGGGCTGTGCAGCGCATAGTTGACCAAGGCCTGGAAGAATTTTCGCTCCTTGGGAAGCTTGGAAGGCAATTTCTTTGCAAATCCGGAGCACGCTTTGAGGATCTCCTCCGTCCCCGCGCTATCCTTCGTGGTGGCACTCGGCGCCTGTGACTCAAGGTCTTTGCACATCTCTTGAATTTGTGCCTCCAGAACCTCGGGATTGCGAGAGGAGATTTCTCGTAACATCTCATGAGCAGGGTTTGCCAGCCCGTTCTCGTCGGTCCTCGAAAGGCTCATGACAGCGGGAATGTGACTCCGGTTGAACACGAGGGAACTGCTGCGATACAGCAAAGGCGTAAGAGTTTCAAGCAATGGAGTATTGTTGGCACTCTGTACCCTCCGCGCGAGTTCTTTAATGGCCTTGATAACCGTTCGATAATCGCTGACGGCGGCCATAGCGAAGCGAATAAGCTGGTAGCCACGTCGGTCGTGCACTTTAGCGAACTTCCACAGATCTGCAGACGTTCTGGAGGGATCGGGGAACGTTTTAGATAATGTATCGATAACTTTGCTCAATTGAGCTTGAATCCGGTCTTGATCTTTTTCCATCACTCCGCCCTGTATGGAGATGTTAGCGAACGACCACAGAACCTGGGATAGCAGGCTTCACTCACGTTGTAGTCTTCGCAGGCCTGCAAATAGATGGTCATCGCAGTTCTCATCGAGATTTGACGGGCCTGCATGGCAAAGAAAACCTTCTTCGCCTTGTCATCCATGCCCCTCAAAAGGGTCAGGATACGACGGGTGCGGACCTTGTCCACATCAACCTCAGCATCGCTCTCCTGTGCCTGCGATCCCTTCTGCTTCTGTGACTGCGTGGAGCTGCTGCGGGTCAACTTCGCCTTCACAGGGGGGTAGTGAAGCGGCAGTAGGATTTCAAACAGAACACGGTCAATCATGACATGAATATCCTGGTCATTGGTATAAAAAGCATCGAAGATCTTTGATGGTCCATCCTTGAGCAGAGGCGCGACAAGCTCGTCGTCCCGCTCGATTTCGCCCGCAGCGACCGCCCAGATCCGGGCGAGGGTCTTCATTGCATGCTCGCGCACCTGCGGTTTGCGGTCCTTAACACGTTCGGCAAGAACGAAAAGAAGCGAATCTGGAGTCGAGAAGCCCCCACTGACACCAAGCTTGTTCACCACATAAGGCAAATCAAAGTTAGCAATCGCGTCCACGACAGCTACACGCACTCTATCGTCAGCATCGCGAAGCATGGACGCAACATGCTTGATGAGACTCTGCTCCTCATTCTCACTCAGTCCCGAGCCACCGGCGGAGGTGAGCAGAATTCGTCCCACTACAGTCACCCAAGCAGCACGGACCGAAGCAGACTTATCCAGACGGCGGCTAAGAAAGCTTTCATAGGTGGAACTGTGCGTTTGCGAGAATGGCTTCGGAGAGAATGGCGTCAGAAGAACGCTGGGCTGAGGAACAGTCTGCGCATACTCAGCCAGGGTTACAGGTGGGTAGGCCGCAGGGTCCATTGGCGGCGGCGGGGGTGGTCCAGCAACCCCGATTCCAGCCGTCAAATCGCCGATTGTTTGTGTGGCCAGCAGACGCAAGGCTAGAGACTCCGCAGACAATTCGGCCTCCAGTTGGGGAATCACATTTTGCAAGACCTCCGGGCAAGCTTTCCACAATTCTCGGATCAGACGATGTGCTTTGCTCAGCTCTTTGATATCTTCTCCTTCCTCGTCCGAGTCCTCCAGGTTTGGCCTTCGGTGGGCGCTCTTCGAAGATCCGTTTGCGCCTGGTGCGGGAGCCGAAGCGTCGATGATAACATTGTTGAAATACTGGCTGATATGACTAGTCATCCTTTCCGGGCATGCTTGGCAAATTGCCTTCGCCATGTTATAAGCGGGAGGATAGTCCTTGAGGAGGAGGGTGCCTTGTTTGGCGTCAACAGGAGTTTCACCTTTTCTTCCTCTCTTGTTGGGTAGCTCCAGGGCGCGGGGATCAATGCGCAAGAACTGGGCCACGATGACATCCACAACATCAGGAGCCAGGACAGGCGATTCATCAATCACCGTCACGAGAAGGCGTGTCATATCGAACTCAACATTCTTGGCGACTTCCTCCCCGGTAGAGTTCTTGGAGGATCCAGAGACGATATCGAAGCAGCTTGTAAATAGCGGTATAATCAATGTGTCTGGGTGATCTAGGTCGGTCATGAGCACGATACTCTTGACTTCTGCGAGAGAGTTTAGGACGTAAATGTGCTGGGCATTGTAAGGATTTGACGGGTCCCCTAATGCAGGAATGATGGAGGTGACTATGGAGGTAAAGATATCCTAGAATATTCCGAGGTAAGTCAGCATTGCCAGCATCGAGACGAACCACACTCAATCTCGGACAGTCTCTCAATGCAGATCAATTGCATCGACGATGAAGTCAGACAAGGGTCGTGATGAATGTCGGCGCACCTTCAGTTGGTTTGCCGTGAAAGGCGCGTCAGGAGCACAAAGGCGCAAGACGTCAACGATGCAACAGGCGGTCCAAGCCCTTACACCCTTATCCTTATGCCCCAGCAGGTGAGCGGTGGCTAGCTCTTGCGACACCTTTCTCAGCGAGTCGGTGTCGATTTCCTCCTGCTCGAGTTTGCGAAGCTCCTGCGCAAGGGTCTGTAGTCGTGAAAGTAGATCGGCCACGGGAATGGCGGCTCGTCCTACGCGCCAGGACAGCGGCTCGTTAAACTTGAGACGGCGCAGATCGCCGGAGATGTCTTCATGGTCCACGACCTCCGTCGCGACGGAGGGACCTTGACGAGTGCGCGCGGGCATCGTGGACGAAGCGCGGGGGACGGGAGCCGATTGAGGGTGAACTTCAACACACCATGCGCGGCGCAGGTGAATGCGGGAAATATGGTGTGATTATTGAAAGGGGGGAGGGATCCAACCTCCGTTACGTGGAAGAAAGAAGTAAATAACAAGAATATAACAAGAGAGAGGAAAATAAAGGAGGTTAGATGAGAGGGGGAGGGGAGGGGAGGGGAGGAGTTGGGGAGGGACAGGAATCAATTCGGGTGAAGAGGGAAGGTGGTTGGTTCGCTTTGCGGTCGGAGGAGCAGTAGGTAAGTTTAGCAGTAGCAGCAACAGCAGCAGCAACAGCAGCAGCAACAGCAACAACAGCTGCACACCACCCGAAAGAACGGGTGATTGACGGGTTTCGAACCTTCGCCAACCGCCTTGGACCGCCTTTGACCGCCTTCTGTCGGGCGGGACGCGTCGCGCGACTTTCAAAGCACTTGGCCTCTTTCGGTTTCGGTTGCTTCCCCTCGGATCTCCTACTCCGTTCAGTACATCCAAGATACTCATCCCTCATAGAATTGTCGGGAATTCAGTCAATATCCAGTCCACACACTCCGCAGACATGCGATTTGACCATCAAAGCGTTTTCTGTTTGGTAATATCTGCCAGCTGCCGATGTGTCTGACTAATTTATCCCTGGCTAGCTCTGAAACGAGGGATCCTCAACCCCCGGCATATGACGTGGCCACGCTTATTCTGAGCTACTATACAATGAACCACGTCCTGATGCAGAATCGGACACATGCAGCCAATATCAGACGAGCCAAAGAGAAATCTCAACGATTAATCTCGTTTACCTACTAGGAACGCAGTCCTATCTTCAACGCCGCATTGCAGTCTGGCCAACCATCCTAGATGACCTTTCACTCAACAGGCAAACGATTGAGCCTCGTCTTCATCAATTGTATTACATTCAGCCAGTATATATGCAGATGAAAAGGCAAACGCTATCTATGCCGCATCGAGATGCCGCTATGCTATGCACATATCACATATACCGTTCAATAAACATTACCCATGTGATTATATATCCGTCACGAGAACGCCATGTAGGTGAGTGGAAATGCTGATACAAGTCTTTCCTGAAAAACGAAAAAGAAAGAAGAAGAAGAAGAAGAATAGGCCCGTCGTCCGCAAAAGGCGATGGGGTTTCACAGCTTAGGGCTGAACTTGCTCATGGCCCGCAGCTTCTTGCCATAGAAGAAGAAGAGGACCGGAATGGGGATCATGGCCAAGGTGATGAAGCCAAGCAAGCTAGAAGCCCAGTCCACACCCAACTTGTTGTACATCTGCGTGGCGAACAAGGGGAAGGCGCCGCCCAGACTGCTTCGGACGAGGGTGTTGGCAGCAATGGCCGAGTTGGCGAACATCAGGTACACATCAATGATGTAGTTGAGACCCTGCATGAAGATAACCAGGATGCCCATACCAATGGGGATACCGGCGAAAACTTGGGCGACCCAGGAGGTGCTCGGGTGGGAACTCCAGCCGAACCAGAATAGGCCCACCGGCAAGAGAACGGAGGCGATCATCATCGGGGGCAGTCGCTCTTCCGGGGTAACGCGCCCATGCTTGGCCAGCTTGCGGGCGAATCGGGTCTTGGTCTGCCAGACAATCAAAGCTACACCACAAATCACTCCGATCAGGATTCCAATAAACGGAAGTCCAGCAATACCTTCGTTCGTCCAGCCACGCACCTCCTGGAAGGACACAGGGTAAGCTTCGAAGAACAGGTAGAGAATTCCATAAACCAAAGCCAGATATAGGGTGATGGCAAGCAGGATCGGCTCGAGGAACAGCATCAGAACCGGCCGCAGCAGATACTTGGAAGCGATATCCTTCATAGTAGGGCGGCTCTTGTCCAGCAGCGCGTATAGTTCGGAATTACCTGTCTCCTTGCGAAGGCGGGCCGCTCTGCGTTGCAAGAGGACGGGAGCATATGTCTCGGGGACGATAAAGAAGGCCAGAAGACCGAAAGCGGCCGAGGCGATCAGGGTGATCCAGGCAGTCCATCGCCAGCCGAGGCTGGAATCGGTAAGGAAGCCACCGACAATAGGACCTGACACATCAAAGTCAGTCGACCAGCACGAGTAACTAGCACCAAGCGAAAACACTTACCAAGCACAGGTCCGACAAATGTGGCCGATGCGAACAGCGCGATGGCGATTGCACGGTCAACGGGATCCCAGAAATCGGCCAACGCACCGCCAACAACAGCGAGGGGGGAGCAACCGAACATTCCGATGATGAACCGACAAACCAGAATAGTCTCAACGTTCTTGGCCACGGCGACGGGGATCTGGAAGATGGCGAAGATGAGATAGCCAGAGAACAGAGGAATCCGGCGGCCATAGAGCTCCGAAAGAGGAGACCACATCAATGGGCCGACGGCGAAGCCAAAGACCACCAAACTCGTACCCAAAATCATGACCTCGGTTGAAACGTGAAACTCTTCGGCCGTCACAATTGTTGCCGTTGAGAAGACACTACTAGCAAAGGTGATCCACATCGTCATGAAGGCCATTGACATGGTGATCACCCATTTCCTCCAATAATTCATGTTGTGGGGGTTCTCGGGGTCGTCGGGCCCATCCCATTCGACGAGGTTAGGATCTCTTTGCTTCTCTTCAGCTTTCTCCAGCTGTTCTTCGGGGGTGTTGGCTTCCGAGTCCGATCCATTGCGTTCCAAATCCTTGTCGAAAGCGTTTTCAATTTCCTTCTCGTGGTCTCCGGTGGCCGCGATCGATGCAGATCTAAGGGTGGAATCGGACGATTGAAGGGGTGCCTCGTTGCTCTGCTCGACCTTCGAATCGATCTCCGCGGCACTGCTACTTTGAGGGGCGCTCATTTCGGGTGACTGTAGCTCGCGTGGGGGCAGCGAACAGTGGGTGACTTGCGATTCTATCCTGACTCAGGGCTACCACCGAACAGGGGAATAATAGGGACAGTTGACGAAACCGTGGGTAGGTTGGAGAGTAATATGGTATCACCAACCCAAAGACGAGAGTTCTATGACGAATTTTAATGAAGACGAACAGGGAAACCAAATGACCCTCGCCACGGGCTCTGGCCAATGCTATATACAAAAGCAACCTTGTTTAAACGAGGAGCCACTTTACCCGCCAGGCAGAGCAGAAGGAGGAGAAAAAATCCCTGATAGCGTATGGGCGACCAATAGGCAACCTATAGAAAAGCAGGTATGGATCACAGCGAACAAGCATTAGTCAAGGTCTCGGGGTTAACTAAGGGAACGCGAGCCCGTCCCCACTCAGGCCCCGATGGTCCAAGTGCGCCGTCGCCGTGTCTGTCGAGCTCGTTAAGTCCGGCCATGTGGGCAAGGCTCCGTCTTGGAATTTCCCGACCAGCAAGCTGTCGATTCATCGGTTCGTGAGATGATGGATCATCCTGCAGACCAAAGTCGTCAACTGCCGTGATACCCGAGATAATGCAGTCAGTAAGCTGCATAAACACGACTGTCAGCCCTTTGTGTGAGGGGGGTGTGAGCAGCTGAATGTTGATTGATAATCGCGGTCATGATGAATGCTAAATGAAATGGCACCGGGGGATGTCCGGTCGCCTGACTCGTGGAAAGTCAAGCTTAGTGTGAGTGGGAATTGAAACTGGCTCGCGCTTTCGGCACTTCCGACCGCCGACATTTGGATCAAGGAGACCCGCCGGCGGCTTGGCTACCTTGGGAGTGGGTACCTTTGTTGTTTTTTTTCTCTTCGCTTCCGTTTCTTTTCCTCATTCGACCTTTTTCGAGAGCCTTCGCGAGGACATTGATATTCGCCTGCCCCGCTTAGTCTTGTTCGAGATAGACTACAGAACATTGGCGTAAACTAAGCAGACAACAACAACTCGACACCTTCTAGTAGGGGAATTACCTTGGTTGTTTCGAATAGAGTGATCAATCACATTCCCACAGTCTGCTCTATCACCTCCCAGTCACATACACACACACACACACACACACACACACACACACACACACACACACATACATACATCTACAGCTCGCTGGGGCTAAGTTAGGAGGTCCAGACGTTGGGTGTATATGCAGCAACCCGCACCGCTGACGATTCCCGATCAAGTTTACTGCTCCGTTAACTCACCATTCCTTCCGGTAGAACCAACGCAACTAAGCAACACTCTATCAAGCGACTTAAGATTCCCTCCGTCCTTAAACCCCGCCGGACTGACTCCTTTAATCCCACGTCAAGCACCCGCGACTGGAACTCGCCGAATCCTTCAGTAGTATGACTCTGCACGTCAATCCGGAAATCAGTCTTATCTCTGAGAGACCACGCGCTGCAACCTCACAGCACAGTACAGTACATGCAGCGTTAACCTCTCCCCCAGGAAAAGTCATTGCGAAAAGAACGGTATCCAGGATTGGCAAAGCCAAACGAAGTAATAGTCTAGAAATTACAGACACCGCGCAACCGTAGTGGGGCCTAGTATGTAGCCATGGATGCAGCAAAAAAAAAGGGGGGTTCCTATCGAGATAAGTCTAGATTTTAACGGAGTACACCCGAAGGAAAATCCGTTCCTTCCTTCCATCCACCCACCAACCCAGATCAGTATTTAAATGAGGGTTCTTGTGCCGACACGGTGGGGAGGACGGTCTTAAGAACCATACTACGTAAGTACATACACTCCCTCAAACACGGCGGTAGTAGTTAACTTACCCATAGTTAGCTAAGACCACCGGGTCCTTAGTCACGTTTCAAACTACGTCGGACTGTACACTATGTCCAGGCAGTTGGACGGTGGCTGGATATTTGTTAAGCCAGCTCTATTATGCAGTTTCTGGATTCGAATGCACTGCAGGGCGGTACTCCGTGCTCCCCTGCTACCTGACCATGGGGCAGTTCACCTTGAGCAATAGTGTGAGTTGGTACCAGTATGGAAACTGACTACCTTACCGTGGACTAGGTATGAGGAGGTAGGAGTATTCAGGATGCCCTATCGAA